AGCTGCATAAACATAAACGTGTGGAGGTCCACGCCAACCCAAGGAAGCCGCACGGGTCTTCGAACAAGTGTGTGTGTGTGTGCGTGTGTGTGCGTGCGTGCGTGCGTGCGTGCGTGCGTGCCCGCGTGCGTGCGTGCGTGCGTGCGTGCGTGCGTGCGTGCGTGCGTGCGTGATTGGGGTGTGTGTGGGTGGGTGTGTGGGTGCGTGGGTGCGTGCGTGATTGGGGTGTGTGTGGGTGTGTGGGTGTGTGGGTGTGTGGGTGTGGGGGTGTGGGGGGGTGTGGATGTGGGTGTGGGTGTGGGTGTGGGTGTGGGTGTGGGTGTGGGTGTGGGTGTGGGTGTGGGTGTGGGTGTGGGTGTGGGTGTGTGTGTGTGCTGTGTGCTGTGTCGCGGGAGGGGCGGAGCAGCAGCAGCAGGAGGGTAGACGGGAGCGCACGAGGGCGGCGGCTCGGCTCAGGCTGGGCGCCACAGCCGCAGACGTGACCCCCTCCTCCTCCCCCTCCTCCTGCTCCTCCTCCTCGTCCCTCTCCCCCCTCCACCCTCGTCTGTTGTTGTTGTTTGGTTCTCTCTCTCTCGCTCTCATTCTCTCGCTTTCTCGCTCTCTCGCTCTCTCTCTCTCTCTCTATCCATCTCCTCTCCTCCCGTCCCCCTCCTCTCCTCTTCCCCATCTTCCCCATTCTCCTCCTGGCGACCGCCTGTGGTCACGGACTTCGCTTCCCGTGATGCTGCGCGCTTAGTTACGCACACGCATGTCTGAACTCCTCCCTTCCCAAAGATGTGTGGGAAATGCTGCCCATTGCGACGTATGGTCCAAAGTGCTTGCCAAAGCCGAGAACGTCGGGTATGGCCACACTCGTGTGATCAAGGTGTCCGCTCATCGGTCTATCGCTGGCCGTCGAGGACACGATTTGTCTCTGCCCAGCGCCAGTACCCAGGCCGACACATTTGCGAAGCGAGGTGTGCGGATGGACCCTCAGGATCAGCACGCTGAGACGCGGGCACACCAGACCGAGCCGCTAATTGAGAGCACTGCTTGTCTGAGCGCACGCTGCCCAAGACACCGAAGAAGGTCCGAGATCCTGGGTTTGTTCGTCCAAGTATCCTTAGGTCGGGCGTGTCCCCTAGAGGGGGATTTTGGACGAACAAATGAAACCACAAAAAAATTAGCCTGGCGAAGGAGCCAACCATATGCAGTTGTGAGTAACGCAGTTGTAAATATCATCTTCGGTGGAGCTCCCTATGGGGCCACGAAACGTGTGAGGGGTGTGCCGAAGTGGGTGGGGCTGACGCATGTGGACGGTGGCACTGGGGCCATCGGTGGAGCTCCATATGGGGCCACGAAACGTGTGAGGGGTGTGCCGAAGTGGGTGGGGATGACGCATGTGGACGGTGGCACTGGGGCCTTCGGTGGAGCTCCCTATGGGGCCACGAAGCGTGTGAGGGGTGTGCCGAAGTGGGTGGGGGTGACGCATGTGGACGGTGGCACTGGGGCCTTCGGTGGGGCTCCCTATGGGGCACTGAAACGTGTGAGGGGTGTGCCGAAGTGGGTGGGGCTGACGCATGTGGACGGTGGCACTGGGGCCATCGGTGGAGCTCGCTATGGGGCCACGAAACGTGTGAGGGGTGTGCCAAGTGGGTGCGGGTGACGCATGTGGACGGTGGCACTGGGGCCTTCGGTGGAGCTCCCTATGGGGCCACGAAACGTGTGAGGGGTGTGCCGAAGTGGGTGGGGGTGACGCATGTGGACGGTGGCACTGGGGCCTTCGGTGGAGCTCCCTATGGGGCCACGAAACGTGTGAGGGGTGTGCCGAAGTGGGTGGGGGTGACGCATGTGGGCGGTGGCACTGGGGCCTTCGGTGGAGCTCCTATGGGGCCACGAAACGTGTGAGGGGTGTGCCGAAATGGGTGGGGGTGACGCATGTGGACGGTGGCACTGGGGCCTTCGGTGGGGCTCCCTATGGGGCCACGAAACGTGTGAGGGGTGTGCCGAAGTGGATGGTGACGCATGTGGACGGTGGCATGGGGCTCCCTATGGGGCCACGAAACGGTGAGGGGTATGCCGAAGTGGATGGGGGTGACGCATGTGGACGGGGCACTGGGGCCTTCGGTGGAGCTCGCTATGGGGCCACGAAACATGTGAGGGGTGTGCCAAAGTGGGTGGGGGTGACGCATGTGGACGGTGGCACTGGGGCCTTCGGTGGAGCTCCCTATGGGGCCACGAAACGTGTGAGGGGTGTGCCGAAATGGGTGGGGGTGACGCATGTGGACGGTGGCACTGGGGCCTTCGGTGGAGCTCCCTCTGGGGCCACGAAGCGTGTGAGGGGTGTGCCGAAGTGGGTGGGGGTGTGTCGAAGCTGATGACGATAATGGTGACGATGATGATGACGATGATGGTGATGAGGACGAATGGTGATGAGGATGATGATAACGACGATCACGATGACGATGATGATGACGATGATGGGAGGAGGGAGGGGGCAGCGGGAGGAGGAGGGAACGCGGGGCGCTGTCTCTTCAAAACGAGGACCCAACACCACAGGATGGTTGGGAACTATTTTGACTATGTTTGACGATGTTGACTATAAAATCGTCCCCTGGCTATTTTGTGACTAATGTTCCTCCTGTAGAGGGACAAGCCCGACTTAATCCTTGGTTTGTTCGTCCAGGTATCCCGGTGGGCCCAGTTGCGGGCACCCCTCGTGTTGTAGTCCACGGCCATGCCAGCCACAGATGCAGGTGGACGTACCGTTGGTCTTCGAGTGAGCACCGATGGAAGCTGGCAACGCTGAGGGGCAACGATAGAGGGGGATAGAGATAAGGGAGGAAATATCGACCTGGAATCGGCGATACGTCGCCCACGGATCGGCGATAGGCCCCCGATCGTGAATCCGCACGTTCCTGGGCAGGTTGGGACTATCGGGCCCCTATCGGCGATCAATGGGCGATTGGGGGATCGATGCATCCCCCCTATCGTTGCCCCTGCTACGCAACCATGCACCATGCCTCACGGGACGGGCCGCGTTGTGCGACGAGTGGGACAAGTTGTGTTCTGTCTCCAAGTGTGGAGCCCACTTGTCGACCAACGTATCCCACCTCGCTAGGAACTGCCTCAAGGAGCCTTTTATGTGGAAGTCAGAAATGTCGCTTCCAGCATGTGATGGACAGGCGCCACCCTAGGACAGGATCCGTAATTGGTGATGTCCAGCTAGTGGGTTTTTTTCGGGGACCTGCTGACCCGGGTCAATCCAGACCCGGGTCAATCAAACCTTGCAGAATCCTGCAAGATCCTGCAAGATCCTGCACACGAGCCCGGGTCAACGCGAAGGATCCTGCAAGATCCTGCAGGATCCTGCACACAAACCCGGGTCAATGTGACCCTGGCCCTGTGTTCCTCCTGCTCGTGTTTTCGTGGGACGCACTGGCCTCGTGGCGCGCCAAACCCAGAATCCCAGAATCCTCCTCCTCATCCTCCTCCTGAGGCACTGAGGCACTGGCGGCATGAAGGTTCGTCGAACATTGCCCCCCTCCAGGTCTGGTCGGCCCTGGGGGGGGGTGATAAAACCAAGAGCCAGGCGACTCCTGGAGCGATCGCTCCAGGCTTCTGGACGTGTTCATCTGGTTTGGACTATGTAGACGGTAAATGACAGACAAGACAGACGGAAGGAGGAGGGATGAATCCCCCATCCTCCTCCTCCTCCCCCTCGTCCTCCGCCTCCTCCTCCTCCTCCTGCTCCTCCTCCTCGTCCTACCCCTCCTCTTCCTCCCCCCCCTCCTCCTCCTCCTCCTCCTCCTCCTCCTCCTCCTGCCCCTCCTCCTCCCCCTCCGCCTCCTCGTCCTCGTCCTCGTCCTCCTCCTCCTCATCCTCGTCCTCCCCCTCGTCCTCCTCGTCCGCCTCCTCCTCCTCCTTGTCCTCCTCCTCCTCATCATCATCCTCCTCGTCGTCCTCCTCCTCCTCTTTTTCTTCTTCTTATTATTGTTATTCTTCTTCGTCTTATTCTTATTCTTCTTCTTAGTAGTATTATTATTCGTCGTCTTCTTCTTCTTCTTCTAATTATTACTATTATTATTATTAATAATACTATTATTAATATTAGTATATTATTAATATTGGTAGTATTATTATAATTATTATTATTTTTATCCTTATTATTATTGTGGTTACTATTATTATTAGTACTATTATTATAAGTATGATTATTATTAGTAGTATTCATATTCGTAATATTCTTCTTATTATTCTCAGTATTCTTATTAGTAGTATTATTTATATTCTTAATAGTATTGGTATTCGTGTTAATACTATCATTACTCGTATTACTATTATGGTTCTTATTATCCTTCTTATTCTGATTATGCGTTTTCGTGTTATTCGTCGTCTTATTCTTCTTATTATTATTATTCGTCTTAGTAATGGTATTAGTAATACTAGTATTATTGAGATTATCATTCGTGTTATCATTATTAACAGCACTCGTCTGATTATCCTTCCTAGTATTATTAGTACTAATAGTTTTATTATTTGTGTTACTATTATTATGATTATTCGTATTACGAATATGATGATGAGTCGTATTCTTATTAGCCGCATTAGTATTCTTAGTACGATGTATTATTGTTTTTGTCGTATGCGTAATCTTATTATTCTTAATAGTCTTATTAGTAGTCTTAGTATTCTTCGTATTATTATTCTTAAATCTATTGAGTGTTAGTATTAGTACTCGTCTTCGTTTTCGCCTTCGTCTTGTGATTAATACTAGTACTATTCC